ACGGCCGCCCCCTCCCCGCCGCCCCGGGCTCACCCACCTCGGCCCCCGGCAGCCCGGCCTCTCCTTCCCGCCGGAGCTCCCGCCGTGGGGGCGGCGGCAGCGGCGGCCCCGGCTCGGCTCCGTCCGTCGGGTCAGCGGGGCGGGGGCAGCAGTGCGGGCGGCGGGGCGGCTCGGCTGGCAAGGCGAGCCCAGGTCAGCAGCGGAGCGCCCGCCGCACTCTGAGGAGGGGAGCGGCGGCGGGGGGGGGGGTGCGGCCGCAGCCTCCACCTCCCCTCTCGGCCCCGCCCTCCGCGCCCATCCCGCGCCCATCCCGCTCCCCTCCGCGCCGGCGGGGTCCCGCCACTGTCCGGTCCCCCGTCCCGAGCTGCGCACCGGGGGACGGCGGAGCGGTGCGGCCTCGGGGTCTCCCCTCGGGCCCCGGCCACCCCAAGGAGCGCCCGCCCGTGGGTCCGCTGGGCCCTGGGCCGGACAAAGGGCGCATTCACCTGCGCCCTCCCCGCCCCGCCGCAGGGAGGAGGAGGAGGAGGAGGAAAACGCGCCGGGGTGCAGTGCCTCCGCGGGCGCCCTTCGTCTCCCCCAGCCCGACCTCTGCCGGCAGCCCTACTGTCGCTGCCAGGGCACGCGTGGGTGCACCGGGCACGCCGGGTACCGGGGGCTGCCAGTCCCGCCAGCGGCCCGCAGCCCTTCGGATCCCGGGAAACCTCTCCCTTCAGTGCGTTCTCCCTTCCCTGCTGGTTCTTCCAAGCGTGTCACTCTCCGAGCCTGACAAAATACTCTATTAATTCCTCCTTCTCATGCGATCAGTCCTCAGTTTAATTTGTTTTTCCCCAAATACCATGATCTTTAACTTTTTTTTTTTCTTCTCTGTGCTGGCGATTCTGAAAAGGCAGCTGTCTCCTGAAAGTTTAGTCATTCAATAGCATGAACTATCATTATCTTGTGAAATCTCTTAGTGGATATTTTGACATTTAGTGGCTTAGTGACATTGCAGAACACATGGCCAGTCTGTCTTAAGGATGTTTTCATGCAGAGCTCATTGTGTTCTCCTCAGGATTTCTTCACAAAAATGAGCCAAGTTCTGTGTCTTTGCATCTTGGGAATACATTTTTGTCTCCTTTTCAGTAGATGTTAAACGAACAGAGACTCCAGCTGAATGCTACATCTGGCAGAAAAGAGGAGATAACCTTAGAAGAAATAGAAGACAGAATAATTATATCTCCCGTGTTAAAACACAACCTTAATTTGTGTATTGGGTTTTTTTAGTTGCCTTCATTAGCATATTTTCCCGTGTCTTTCATAAAGGCTATTTTCCACTTGCTTTCCATTAGTTACTTTTTCTTTTGCAAGGCATGCTAACCTGTATATACTCTCACTTTGTGAAAGTGCCGTTTGATTTTCTTTCCTACTCCTGTTTTTGCACCGTCCTTTTGGGATTTCTCCCAGTTCCCGGAGTGTAGCATCATCAGGGTGACGCCTGGCGGTAGGAGCGCAGGGGAGGAGGCTAACTGCGGCGACGTGTGCCAGCCCGTTCCTACACCCCAGCTAAAGAAGAATTTGTAGTGCAAAGGGCTAAAAGCATTGTCATGTTCCTAATGAACTCCATGGTAATGCTCTCCTCAGAAGTTCTGGTGTAAGTTAGTGTTATGGGGACTAGATTTATAGACCAAAAGATACCTCAAGATAGCTCAAGGTAGAATATCCTTAAGATATCGTTAGCCTTTTCATAAAACACACAAGAGCTAAGCTCCTGCACGAGCATTCTCAGATGAGATGAAAAGCCAGCCAAAGTGAACCTGGCTATAAGTACCTAGTAAGGTGCTCTGCATAGATGCTCCTAGTACCTCTGGAGTACCTACCAGTACCTAGCACCATTCTGTGTGGCTGCTGATAATGTGGAAATAGATTCAAATGCTAGGGAAATCTTCCCTTTCATGGCTACCCTCAGGCATGACTTCCAGGTCATTCAAAGTACCACTTGTATTACAGTGGTTACTGGAAAACAAACTGTGTGGCAGTCCTGCAGATCATTACACCTAGATGATACCACTGCATGCTCACAGCTTTGAACTGATATTTATGCAAAGTGCTTTGCAAGAAGTGTGACTGAAGGTAGGAAACACCACAGGAATCAGGAGTTGATTCAAAGTGAGATAATTTCTCTTGGCACATGCAGAATGGGGATGATCTCATTGACAAAAATTTAAAACTGTGCAGATTTGGCTAGCTCCAGACATTTAGAAGAGTGTCAG